AGCAGCATCCAAGGTGACATCCATCGATGCAATGCTGCAAGGCGGTAGCAGCTACTCTCATGCCCCAATCCTCTTCAGTTATGTTCAGGATCTTTGCTTCGTCCAGGTCCTTTTGTCGAATTCCATGGTAATGATGCATCCTCAGTAATTCTTTCTTGGGAAAGTACCTCAGGTATCCTTTACGTAGGAGATTATCGTGCACTCTTACCTTCTTCACGGCTTCGGGGCGATAGATTGGTTTCCTCGTACTGTAATTCCATTTCTTCTTGGTTCTCCGCCACAGACGGTCAATCAAGACCGGATGCTCGGTGTCATTCAGGGGCTTACCGAGAAACAGGTAGTTCTCCATGAAAATCTGACCGAGCTTCTGCGTTTTAAATCGGGCGACCTTCTCGACGACACGGCGTAAGAATCCCGGTGCTCGATCCTTGGAGCTGTAAGGGTACTCGTCGATATCGATAGCTGTCTGCCACTTGAACTGACGGCCGAATCTATTGAGGCAGTCCCGGTAAGCGGGCACCTGCGTGGCCTGCGCCCGCTTACTTAGCTTTTTTATTGCCCAGTGGCTCCAGTCGATGTAGGTCACAAAGCCAGTCTCAATGAAACAATGCAGTTTTTCTCTCTGACATTCATTGTTGTAGAGCTAGATAAGAGTCGTAAACGTACACATGTTCAATACCTGCGTAACTGAGATACTGGAACCACTGCACGATCTCTCTGATTGTAAAATGAGAGACGTCAGTGGCGTAGATGCGAACCACCAAAACAGCAGTTAAGAAGTACTTTACCTTGATGTCAGAGTTTGACCTTTCGTGCCTCCCTTTCGATAGTTCAATGAAAGGCCGGCCGGAACACCAGGGCTCCTGGGTAGTTGTTAGACCTACTTGGTGCATGGAGGAATGTGTTTTATTCCTCCATGCTTGGTGTGTGAAGATGACTTCGTTCCTTGTGTTGAAACCAACAATGAAGCCAAGTCTACTACTGCAGTTTGTTGCATTGCAATGGTGAGCGGCCGGTGCGGTGTTTCTCGTTCTCTGGCGTTTCCAGATTAGACAAACATACGGAATGAAGACATTTAGTGTCGTGGTAAAAATCAAAAGTAGAAGTGACAATACCAGAGCCTGCTTGATCCTCATTGCGATGTCTGTCTGCATTCCATTGCGCATTGATACAGGTCGTGTACCAGCGCAACCTTCAACTAAGAACTCACATCCCGGAAACCGCATACATGTAATGTCACCCAAGGTTAGGCCTATATCTGTTGCTTACTATACTCGCAAGGCTTACACGTGAACAGGAAGGAGCGCTTGTCACTATATAGGGTTGCAAACAAGTATAGGCTGCCGTGTAACAGTAGCGTAATACCCCCACTTCAATCATGCAAAAACTAGTGTACACAAAGGTTTCTCAGGTATTGAAGATACAAGAAATAAAGCTCCTTTCTTAATCCTTCATCTTCTTTTCAACATTTAGTGGGTTAAGAAATGACTTTTGAAGATATTTCCATGCAAGAAATGAGCGATTAACCCTAAAAAAAAACCAGTAGATCGTGATATCGAATTCCATCCAGGAAAATAATATTGAGGCCTCGGTATAAGGTCAGTTGCAATATTAGAACCATGTCTATAGGGTCCTGCTTATCAGCACAAGTTGGCAGTCCTGTTGGTAGCTTCCATCATTTTTGTTTGCAAACCGTCAAGTCCACGAGCCAAACTGTTCTAATCACAGCTAATGTAACAGCATGTCCCAAGACTTCACATAGCCCAAATGGATTAAATCGGTTCGTGCTGTACTTCGGTGATGGTTCGTCTGGAGATTGTGTCCTCAAACACGTACCGATGGTTTGCAATCGCAGAAAAAAATACCACAGGGTGTGTCAAAAAAAGGTAAACACTCAGAAAAAATACCATAGAATCAAGTTTCAAAAATGTGGTTGCACCCGTTGGTGAAGGGTGTGGTTCTGCTTTGATTGATGTCAGGTTCGTGGTTAACAGTTCATGGACACCTCAATGAACAGCGAAAGTTTGAATTTTAGAAAATAAAAGTTTGTTGTGCATGGGTCTGTGAGGGTTAAAATCTGTTGCATTGAAAGAAAAGTTTAAAAGGAGTTTTACTTGCACACATAAATTTTGAAAAAAAAAATACAATTATCTCTTTTCTGAGAGTACCAAGCTTGTCAACGGTTTGGATTACATCGGCGGATGACACATTATTCGGGTGTTCTGGGGGGTCTTTACTGGGAAAACAAAAGTAAGAAACTAATTTCTCAGATATCAATAAATTAGTTTGTTCATGATGCAGTGTCTATTCAAATTGTTCAGCGCAGCATGCAGTAGTGTTTGTGTTCCTTTATTTGCAGCATTCCAAATGCCGATTTGGTGCTTCCAACCCCGACCATTCAGGTGTTTGGACAACCGGGTTTCTAGGGAGTTGTTTTCCTACAGTGTCGGAGCATTGGAGTGATTAGACATGGAGTGTGTGGGTTCTTTTTATAATCACAAAGTGAGGAAATCGAGAACAAGACCTGTTCTTGCAGATTGCGTGATTTTTTGTGCTTGTTTACTCTCGCATCCCATGCAAACTGAGGAGTTGTGCATCTGAGGAGTTTTTGCCGAGTGAACAGCNTTAATTGTTTTGTGCACAATTTAGGCATGGGTGGCGCTATGATGATTTGTGGTCGGCACATTCCTCACAAGGTTGGGTCTCCACACAGTTCGAATTCGAGACTCGAACTGTTTGTGATGTACGGAGCTCTGGAAGTGCCATTCTACATATAGAGATCCTGACATATTTTATCTCTGGACGACGACATAATTATTACAGGCAGTATGGGGACATCATGAGATGTCCCCATATGTATGATGCCTTCATCCTGAGACAAAATAAGTCCGGAGCTCTGTATCTACCCTTCGATGCATGCGATGATAGACAGGTTCAAGAGACGTCGAAAATTAAAAAAGGAGCAGGATGAACTGCTCCTTCGCAGCGTAAACTCATTCTAAGACCCAGAAGGGTTTATAATTCGCCATACACCAAATAAAGTAATTTAAGGCGGCAATAAACAGTCTACAAAGCTTAAAGTACCAGTACTTGAATATGTAGGCCCTAGGCGTAATTAGATGAAAATGTAGGCCTATTACAGTAAGGCCTACGATATAGGTAGGCCTAGGCCTCTTTTTTGTCTGTGTTTTATTACTCATTACTTAAATATATTGGATGGTTTATATTGGGAAAGTCGATGGACAAATTTCTTCTGTTGAAGTCTTTTCTACCTCTTCCCACTTTTCCTCAAAATTCAGCCTCAGACTAGCACATAGCAAGATCATTTGTGAAATCCCTTGTATAACCTTGCATATAAGGTCCTGTAGGAAATGCTAGGAAAAGCAGGAATTCCTGTTTGTGAAAACGGTTATAGTTTTGAATCTCATGTAGTAGCATGCCGCTTCGTTAAAAAAAAAAACATCTCACTGCTTGACTTTGGGCGTTTTTCCGTGTGCCGTTTTTGTTAATTATCCAGTTCAAAGTGCTCCCGTTTATTGCGTCACTCATGTACACGTCAATGGACACTCTCCAGAACGTACGCAAAAATCTTGGACCCCGACTCCATGACCAAAGATGCGTCTGAGGGTTAACGCCTTAAAAATTGTTTTTCTATGAAAGAGTGTATCTTTTATAGTTTATAGGGCTTTTTATTTTGTATATGTCCTCATCTTACCAAAAATAACAGTAAAAGTAAACCAAAAACGCACAGGGAACAAACTGCCGACTATCTCCCCAATTTAACCAAATTTCTCTTCAGAAAGCCGCTTCCTTAGCCTTCATGTTGTATATACCGTGCGCACGTATTGTATTGGAGGGCTCGTAAAAACAAAACGAATAGATTGCATTGTTGTAAGTAGAGATGTCACATGCGGGTAGGTTTGGACGCACCAGTTATCTTAATGGGGGTTGAGTACTTGCTTTAGTAATTGTGACGGGATATGCCATTCGCCATTATGATACCTATATACCAAAAAGACTCGAACACGAGTGTTTTATAATTACAACACGTTTTGAAGGACAGCACTTACGTGTTTACTTTTAATTAATCAAGTCAGTTCGCCAGGCTATTTCTGGTTTAGCACTCTGCTACCAACAAGTTTAATGAATATCGCTCTGCCCTAATTGAGTCCCTGCGTATGTGTGCATCGAAAGGTAAACTCTCCATTTAAGACGCCCTCACGCTGTGCCACCCACACTGACGATACACGCTGTGTGCACTCCTTGGTACATCAGTTTTTGTCCACAGAGTCTGTTGTCTTTCTTGTTGCTGTTCTGCTGGTCTGTCACACGAGCATGCGGGAATACTCCGCTGCAGTGCCAGTTAGGCCTCCGTGAAGCCCCGTTTCACTCTTCTGAAAAGAAGTGGCACTAGGGAACTAACCTGGATGGCTCCCAGGATAATAAAAGCAAGGTTATAGCTCCCACTGTGGTCGACAATCCAGCCTAAATGGTGGAAGAATGGAAGTACACAGTTTAGTATTACAGCACACAGCATGAGTATAGTTTCACTCTTGTGAAAACTACACAAGGAAACAATTGCTTGAAAGTCTTCTTCTGAGGTTTTCCTGGTGTTTAAGAGAATATTGAACAAGAGAGACCTTTTCTCACCTGGAATAAACCCTGAAGAAACCCGAAATATACCAGAGAAGAAACCCATCCAACCGTAGGCACTGGCCATTTTCTCGTAACCAAGGTGTTCCTCTACCATTACGTCAGAGAGGGCGTAAACTGCGCCAACGGCTGACATGACAACCACACCGCTGACTGACAGTGACCACGTGGCATTTAACCAGGGATCGACGAGGAATAGGACGGCCAGAAGCAGTGCGGAAACCAGCATAGCGCTGGTACTCGTCACCTTCTCCTTGAACAAGGCCACACTGACAAAGACCGTGCCGAAAAGATGGCCTACTCCAGCCAGCGTCACCATGGCAGCGGCCATATTCGGGGAAAACCCTTTAGCAACTACGTGAGGCACAAAGTAGATGATCCAAGCCGACTTGGTAATACGAGTGGCAACAAAGATGCAAGCTACAATCCAAAAGTTGCCGTTCCTCAAGAGGGAGAGATTAAGATCTTTTCCTGCTCTTAAAACAAGTGGTTTCAGCGACATTGTGGTGCCACACTTATTTGCCAACCTACTGAGCAGTTTTGATGACTGGCTGTCTGTAAGGGGTTCATATTCGGCCCTAGGATTTCTGTCCATTGCTGCCTCAGGCAATGGGATGAGGAGAGCCCCACACACGACGAGATGAGCACCAATCGAGCCAACCAGAAGCATGGTGCCCCTCCATCCGTACATGTCGTTAAACAGCTGCACGAGAGGCGGCAGACAGACTAGACTGATGGAGACGCCCGTTTTGGTTATACCGGACGCCAGTGCGAAATTCCTGCTGTCGAAATATTCCCCAAGTGAGGCTCTTGTAAGCACGTTAGTGAGGCAGTAGCCCGTGGCTATGGGGAAAGATAACAAGCAAAGAGGCAAAGGTCACAATTGTTACGTCTTGATCTTAAGTCGGAGGAAATAATGACTTGGCAACGTTTTAGCTTCATTCGTTCCGTAGGCCTTTATGAATGAAACATAGAGAAAAAAGTTCCAGTGGTTAAAAATCATACCCAAAGACTATTGTTTCGCCATTTGCGCCATTCGACATCGGCAAAATNTACAAACGAACGTAAAAGCGAACACTAACTCGATTTTGTGAGGGCTGACAAAATATTTGCTCAATGAAGAAAGAATTTCGCTGCAAAAATGTCTTGACCTCAAATGGACTTTGGTCTCCTGCAAGGCCCCTAGGAATAGACAACGAAAGTAAAACTGACCACTAGGCCTACACATTTCACTTACAGTTCTTTTGAAATTGCTCACAAGTTTTTGATGCAACCATTTTAGAAGAACGTAATGCTTGATATCAATCCCATATCCGTTAGCATAGTCAATATCCCGTCCTTAATAACAGCAGCATCATTATAATGTATAAAACACGAATCATACCTAATGGTAGGTTCAGCAGTAATGCAACTTGTAAGACGTTGGTGGCTTGAGAAGCGGCTACGAAGCCCATGCTGACCAGTACACCGCCGAGCATGACCGCTTGCCGATGACCGACAGCCGAACCGACTGGCCCAGCAAGTGGTGCTGTTTTGGAGACACAGACATTTCAAAGAAGCATTGTTTTGGCTGTATTAGCTATTCATTTTTTGTTTAATAATTGATCGTTTGGAAATGATATCAGCAACCTAAGAAAGGGGAAAATTAAAGTATTTCGTTGCAAGATTGCACTCTACATTTCTAGATGTAACTTAACAATAGCTGATTGCTTATCCCCCCAAAAACAAAAGGCCCCATGGACTTTACCATGAAATTTACTTTCTTTATTTTTTTTTTTAAAGAAATGTACTTTTATACCTTCTCCTGGTGTAAATTTAGAGGTTAATTTTCCCCAAAGGGAGAATGCATGCTGATTATGCCCCTGTGGTAAACAGATTCTCCTCAATGAAAATTCTACGAAAAGAATGTTACATTCCTTAATACAGTTTTCCCTTATGGGGCAAAGCATGAGTCCTATTCGAGGAAGCTATCGTCACGGACCTGTTCATGACATTCCCATAAGTTGTGCCTTCAACTTAATATTTTCCCCTTTGTACAGGCCTACGTTAACCTAAGTTGATTTTGGCTTTCATGTTTGTACATATGTTTTCTTTCCCGTACATACTTGGTTCTTCCCTTATGCGAGTAGAGATTCTCTCTGAACAGTTGAGGAGTATGTTATATTCACAAGATTACGATGATTTGGGAAAGCTAGAATTTAGGGGTGCTTTTGCGAGCATGGACAAAAGCATAGATCATAGTTAGTGCATGTACACATGCAATTAAAACGAGCTGTATGCGCAGACTCAGTAAACCTCATACTGTGATGTGCATTGTCCTTACACGAAAGCAAAATGGAAATGAATGTATGGGTGCAATAGCGTAACGTAGGTAGGTGATAAAAAATCAGTTTGTTTGAATTTCGCTAGTTTTGTTTTGTTTTGCTTTGATTTTGAATTTTTTGCGCAACATTGCGTATAGGTCCTCGCATAAGTCTAATCGATCAGGGTTCAGAACACTTATTATATATTATTTTTTTGTCTAGGGTTTAGTCTGACATGTTCCCGAATTCAAATCCCGGAAACAGACACCGTAACACAGCGCACTTACCTAGCACATCGCTGACGCACTCGATCAGCGCAAAGACGGAGCCGAGCACCCAAGTGTCGGCCCGCAACTCCCCGCCCATTGACACCAACAGAATGCCCAGTGATTTCACTATGATGGCCGTCACAAAGAACTGTAAAAACCCGGCAAGTGTGGCAAGAATGCCGAGACGGAGTTGGTAGCGGGCCCTCATCTTGCTGTGGAATCCTTAGTAAATTATAATAATTCGCTTATAAGCGGTACCTACAAAGAGCGCTTTGAAAAAAAAATATTATTATCATTGGGTCCCATAAAATGAGTCATGCGTATCATATCTGCCCACAGATGGCCGCAATTGAGATATGCGAATATAAAACAGTTGCGAATAAATTAGTTGCGAGTTTCAATCTTGCGTGGGGTTGCAATAAAGTATAAGGCCCGCTTCAGTAAAACAAGAGGAACCTTTAGATAAGTTGTCCCAGCCTTTTACACCTATATAACACATTTTTCTTTTCATTTACATTCATAATGTTTAATCTCCAAATTTGTCCAGTAATTTTTTTTTTGCCCTTGCAAGCTTGTAAAATTTCCTCATTTGTCACAGACACACAATGTTGAATGTTAATTCTAATTCAAACTATAGGCACACATTTTCGAAGTGGAGCGTTCGATCTCGTCTTGTCTTCCAAGCCGTGTCATTCAACAAGATTTTGAGACAACAAATGCCCCTACGTTGGCAAGATTGTTCAACTTCGCCAAACTCCATAGTGACACACATTAAGGAGGCATAGAGGTTGCAAAGATATTTTTCTTTTCTTGCAATTCCTAAACGTCTTTTCCGTCTCTTTTGGAACACTCCAAAAATGAATTCGTCATTGCCGCCTTTTCATTTGTCAAATGAACTCTGTTTAGTCATTTCTGAATCACTTAACGTCTTCAATATTAAGGACTAATTTGCCGTCAGCGATGACTAAAATAACATGTCATGTTCAAGTTGACAAATATACATTAGCCGCGTGGATGTTGAAAGCCGATGACTAACACAGACTTGTACTGGTGTTGGTTTTCAGAAACTGCAGTTAATCAACCTTTTGATGGTAAGCGTTCAATTTACATAAATATGCGCCGGGATGCGCGCGCCTTCGAAGTTTCTCATCTCACTGGCGTACAGATTTAAATTGTACGGCCTCCACGGACACGGTACGCTCCCTCATTTACCTGTCCCTCACGTGACGTCATGCAGCGCCTAAGCCTACAGCCTGTAACGGGTTTGTATACGAACATGTATTGGGCATGTAAAAACCATGTAAAAACCATCAAGCAGACCGCTCATCCATGAAGCTGTATAGAACCATGCAGTAAAAAAAGAGTGGGAAGTGGCTCTGTTGATGCTGATAACAAATCTCACCCCCAGGCTTCTATAAAACTCTCATGCACGGTAGCAGTCTTCTTGGAATAATCCTGAAAATCCCCGGCCCCCTATTATCAAAACAGTAGCAATAATATCGACCAATTATTCCTTGAACTTTGCTTACACGGGCCAGTTTCCCCTGCTATTTTCTTTGCCATAGAAACAAGTTCGTTTGAGAACAGTCCGGAAAAACAAACAAACGAAATTCATGGTGGCAGCCTAGCTAGCTCCACTCCCTTAAACTTAACACGTAGAGGCGACATGTAGGCCTGTGATTGCACCCCTTCCCTATACACACGTTCCCATCATCTCATCCATCTCCAACTCTTCCTCCCGCCATCTCATCATTTTATCCATCTTCAACTCCGCCTCCCCCATCTTATTATCCTATCCGTCATCCACTCTGACCCCCATCCCATCCTCTCATCCATCTCTAACTCTGCGTCCCTTCATCCCATCATCCCACCCATCTCCACCTCTGCCTCCCCCATCTTATTATCCTATCCGTCATCCACTCTGACCCCCATCCCATCCTCTCATCCATCTCTAACTCTGCGTCCCTCCATCCCATCATCCCACCCATCTCCACCTCCGCCTCCCCCATTCCATCAGTCCATCCACCTCCGCCTCCCCCATCCCATCATCCCATCCATCTCCAACTCT